CACGTTTCCACAACTCAATACGTTTAAAATCATTTTTGATATGAGGCAGAACCTTTTCTTGCCATTCGGCTGAGATCATATTCCTTTCTTGCCTCATTGCATTCAAAACAACATCGGCAGCTCTATTTACTTGTTCTTTTTCCCATATCTTCTCTTTAACTTTGTAAAACACGCCTATCGCAACACCGCAAATAAGAATTATTTCTAAATTTATTGGTATGCGTTTAAAATAGAGGTAATTAATTTAAAATATCAAAAATAATAAATAAAATAAATGCATTTAATGTACGTACGAATAGTGAACATTAAATTCTCTTTAAGCCAGGCTATACCAAAAAGTTTAACTTTACAAAGAATACCATGACTTGGTTTTTTCGAAATAACATAACTTCTAAGTTTATTAAAACTCCTAAAAAATATGTTGTAAATCAATAAATTATATAAATAACATTATAACTCAGAAAAACACAAAATTCAAAGCTCACTCTTTTTCATCAACGATTTCAATATCATCGTCCGATCTCAGGTTTTTCAATGCAATTTGTGTGAACTTTTCAAAATTCTCATCTGTATCTTGGAATGGCTATCAATAGTAAAGAATTAAAAATTAATCATATATTCTGACAATTCATATACATTAATCCATTTAGTATTAATACTCACTAATTTTTTTTGCCGAAGTGGAATAAGAAGATTATTAAATAATAAATTTTCTCGTTCTCCACTTCCACAATCAACCTTTCCGGTTTCTTCGGCAGCAATTTTTTTAAGCAACTTGGTATACTTTTCAATCTTCTGCGCTCGATCAAGATCAAGTATACATCTGCTGGTGAAAGGTTTGAGCCAATGAATTGATGAAGATGTGAACACGAAACCTTCATCACACGAGGTGATCTTACCCTCTGAACAATGAGCGTAAGGTGGACAAGGGGTACAAGTGATCTCAAAAAATGATTCTAAAAATATTCAAGTTTGAATTAATATATATGTGATAACACGTTTAATTAAATTTATTTAACATTGAATCTTACTTTCATCCTCGGTGCCTCCACCGCCTTTAACAGTATCACTATTACAGAAACCAATTTCCATTTTGAATCGAGCGTAAGCTCCAATTAACAAAATTACAAAAAATAACGAAAGAATAGTTTTCCATCCACTTGATCTTATTTGTGATTTTATTAATTCGGGTGATGGTTGACGGTTAATTTGTCGCGTTGGAATATGATTAGGATTTCTAAATGCGTAGGCCACTGCTTCACGTCGATTAGTTGAATTATCTTCTTTGACACGCTTTGAATTTGAAATTTCCGGATATAATCGTCCTTTATCATTAATTTTAGGTGTTAAATCTGGTGCAATTGCTCTAACTTTTATTGATGGTGTTTCTATGTCCGTCGATTCTTCAGATAAAAGCTCAGATTCGTTTATAATAGCTTTAATCTTGCCCTTGCTGGTTCTCTTCGATGAACGAGAGGGTTTAGGGGTGGTCTACATTATACAACATTGACAATACGTGTAAATTCACTTAAAGAAATTTACTTTTAAAAAAATCACGTAAACATTTTTTTTTTTTACTTGTGGATTCTCGGACGAGGAATCTGCGCTTTTTCGTGATGTCTTAGTTTTTCTTTCTGCTGATCGAGCAAGCTCCGCTTCAGTTTTGGTACGATAATTCTTCAGCTCTTCTTCTCTTTTTCGTAACGACGGTATAAGCGGTCGAATGCTTGAATCGAACAATGCTACAAGGTCCGCTTTTTTTTCACTGCCGGTATAATGTACATTATGTTCACCTAATATTTCGCGCAGTCGAGCCATAGTAACTTTTTGAGGCAAAAAGTCTGGGTCCATATAGTAATCTTTATGCGAATCCATTGTGAAATTT